AAAAAATTTGTTATTCGTGTGACTGTAAAGATTAAATCATGGTGAATATGTGTTAAAGGTTGAATGATGTAGTTAGGCTCTCTGACGCTACACTTTAGAGTTAGCCACTTTCAGAATAGTACCTCAGGGTCTAGAGTTGAAATTAGGGTGTGTTAAGAGGTCTAGTATGTTGAATTTTAACACGTTAGTGTTTTGATTGTAGGAGGAAGTGTTGAACACATAGACAGAAACACATTCGTGTTTGGTGTTTTTACAACACATGTCAGAGAGCACGGGGAGAGATAATTAAAATAGTCATGAATGAAATAAGAATGTTAAGAAAAAGTATATTCTATATGTTATTTGCAATGTCATTCTGTAACATTTCATTAAAACTAGTTTTCCTTCCAGATCTCTGGAAGGAACCAGAACAGAATGAATAAAGCTCCTGTTTTGATGCAGTACAGATGAAAAAGAAAAAAGATTGTTGTATATTCCGGGAGCTGCTATTGTAACAAATTTCTTTCTTTTAAAATTTTCTAGTTTCTAGCTAAGTTATGTTTGTAAAAGTTTGGCCTCGCGTTAGTTTCTAGAGCTAAAAGTTTTCAACAAGGTCGTTTTAGACCTCAGTTTCAAACTAATTAACTCTGGCGGGAAGTATGTAAGGATCTTAAGTTTTACTAACGTTTATTTTATTTTAAATCTTTACTATCACTTCTTATTTTCTACTTCCGGCCAGAATTATAAGCGTGAAGGAGTTTATGCAAAGTTGTCTGGCGAACGCCAAGTATTTAAGTGTGGCCTTTTTGCCAAGCAGAGGAGAGAGGAAGCCGTGAGTTCGAAGCAGGCCGCTTACCTTAGAAGTTACGCAGTTGCTACTTTGCCTTCCAGGCCAGAGGTTTTAATCCTCTTGATAAATTAAACGTATTGTAGTGTTCACAGTCTCTGTGCTACATACGCTTTCTGTTATTATAAGGCCAATCTTATTCTAAAGTTAAATTAGAGTTTAGTTTTATTTTGATATCTTTTAAGTTAGACCCCGAGTGGAGGGTCATTGTATTCCGAAGTACGGAAGTCATTGTATATAAAGAAAAAATAAAGGGTTTTGTATATCCTTCGTCTGTATCCTGTCTACTTACTACAATTAGTGAACATAGCTTTAGTAAGCTCTCTGTTCTAGTCAGGTCATTGTATGTTTCCGAAGAAGGTTAGAAGAAACATTGAACCTGATAAGTTGATCACAATAAGATTATAAAATTATGACATTATAAATACCTGGAATTATCCGCCAAACAGTAGGTCTATTACAATAACATACATATGCAAAATATGGTTAAGAGTAGTAACAATTTGTGCGGATTATTGGCTACTCGTATTTGACAAATTACCTTTTAAGTATAAATCTTACAATTGTACTTATATATGTCATGTTGTTTAGAAATTGATTACAAAATACAAATATGCAGACATTGAATATGAATTATAACAATTAATACATTATTCAGCAAATTAAAGACTATTCACTTTGTACATATTTGAAATTCAAATTCGTACATTTGTACGTTTATAATTCAAATCCTACAAGTACGCTTATGCATTATGTATTCAGATCATACATGATGCTGCAAGGATACATTACAAATACTTAATTTACCATTACATGTACACAAACACATACACATATAAACTCCTGTTAAGAGTATTAGTAATTTGTACAGATTATGGGCTACACGTGTTTGGCGTATTACCTATTTTTAAAAATAAGTCTTACAATTACACTTAATTATGTCATACAAATTAGTAAAAGATTACAAAATACAAAATGCAAAATGCAAATATTGATAATGAGTAACAGCAGTTTTATACATTATTCTGCTGATTATGGGCTACTCACTTTTACATGTTACCGTTTTAAGTTTAAATCCTTCAAATACATTCATGCTTTGTAAATTCAAAGCGCACAAAATGCTACATAGATATACTGTAATTACTTAATGAGTCATAGCATATACATATACCAATACATATGTTAACTTTTTGCTAAGCATAGGGACAATTTGTACAGCAAATGGGCTACTCGTATTTGGCATTTTGCCTTACAGGTAAAAATTTTACAAGAACACTAATTTGTGTCATACAAATTAATTAAAGAAAATATTACACAAATATGTAAACATTGATAATTAATAACGACTTAATCAATCATTGCATATACATATATCTTTACATATGTTAACATTTTGCTATGTAAGGTAAGAGAGTGCTTTGTGGTACACTCATGTCCATAAATTAAGGATAATTTGGAGTCACGCGGAAATCGAACTCTAAAATAAATATATCACCTGTAAAATCACTACACACATCTTCAAGAATCATATGCAAATTTGAGGAAGTAACCAGATGGTACCGATGGTACGTCACAATGACGAAAGTGTAAGAGAGTGATATATAAGGAATACAGGCAAAGAAGTAAAATTGTTCGCAGGCGCTTTATAAGCATTTCAGTGCAATTACCGAATAGTTATGACACAAAGGACGCATTTGGATGATTTTTTACGTGGTAGAATTATCGGCCGTCTGGAATGTGGGCGTACCCAACTGGAAGTATCAGACGAACTTGGAATTGCCCAGAGTATCATCTCCAGGCTTTGGCAACGATTCCAAGATGATGGTACTGTGAGTAGACGTTACAGCAGAGGTCGCCCCAGAGTTACAACGCCGAATGAGGACCGGTATTTGGCAGTTACTGCCAAAAAAACAGGCGGAGCACAGCCTCAGACCTGTCTCGTCAGCTCTCTTCAGCCACTGGTACGACAATTTCAAGGCAGACCGTCTACAGACGCTTAGGGCACATTGGTCTATATCCTCGTAGACCTGTCAGATGCGTTCCACTTACTGCAACTCACTGTCGCTTGCAGTTAGCCTGGAGTAGAGAGCATGCATTGTGGACACCGCAACAGTGGGCTTGTGTGATGTTTTCCGACGAGTCCAGGTTTAGCTTGCAGTCTGATTCTCGCCGGACTTTCATATGGAGAGCTCCAGGTACCCGTTACCACCAAGAAAACATCATTGAACGACACCGTTACGGTGGTGCAGGAGTGCTCGTTTGGGGTGGAATTATTCTGGGTTCCAGAACTGACCTGCATGTTCAAATTGGAACCATGACAAGCCAAATCTATCGGGACGTCATTCTGGAACAACATGTACGTTTGTTTGTTTCGGGTGTCCATGGGCGCACAATTTGTGTTTATTGGATGACAACGCCCGTCCTTCACCGTGCAAACATCGTAAGCGAATGTCCTTCAATCGGAGGATATCACCCGTATGGACTGGCCAGCATTCTCACCGGACTTGAATCCAGTAGAGCACGTGTGGGACATGCTTGGCCGACGAGTTGCAGCCCGTCAACCTCCTCCTACATGTCTACCGGATCTTCGGAGAGCATTGCGTTTTGAGTGGTGTAATATCCCCCAAGATCAGATCGATAATTTGATACTCAGCATGCCTAGGCGTTGTACGGACTGTATTGCATCGTCTTGGAGACATACAATGTATTAACAATCATACCAACCATGTAATATTGGTTTTTTGTAAATAGGTGTTTTTTGTAATTTGCTCCAGGGAGAAAAAATCGCTAATTTTTTCAATAATATCAAACATATAGCATCTTTGTTTGCTCTTTGCGTTTTTTTTTAATAAATAAGCTTTAGAAATAAGTCAAATTTGTTTTGCTTCTAACTCTTCCTTTGCCTGATTTCGCATTATCCTTAATTTATGGACATGAGTATACTTTATAGCACCATCGCCACATGACAATACTACATTATAATGACTCTGAAAATACAAAATACCCCTCATATATACCGCACACATTGAAATGGATTTTGGGGCTAAGACGATGTGCTTACTCATAAATTTTCAAACATTTTGACAGATAGAATTATTTATATATTTACATGCTATGCCATACAGAACTATTACATTATTTGAGTATACATATATACTTAATTTTAACATGAATTTGCATAGAAACATTGGACAAACGAAAACATAGAACATTGGCTATACACAAAAATTTGCACGTTAAATCTTTATAAAACATGATACTTAATCCTTAACTTTTAATATAATGCTCCAGCTTATCCATGCACGTTACTAGTTACTACTTAAATGGAACATAATACTCAAGTAAAACATAGTTGAAATATTGATTCACATATTATTCTCAAATGCAACATTAGTTTCCTAAAAGCAAAACACTTGTGTTTCATTCTATTACTTCTAATAGAAATTGTTACTGTTCAATAATACCGTACCGTAAAATACTACATAATTATATTACGCAATTAGAACGTAATATCGCATAACTTAAATACATTACATTCATTGCACATTACAATTATTCTTTTGAACTCGATTAGAACATAATATTACATAGCTATGCAAATATTCAATTAAACATAGAACAACTTAATATCTAAAATTGTTCAATTAAAACATAGTGCCACTTAATAGCTTTGCATACACTAGACTGATATGCTGTTTCGTAATTCCGTTACTACATAAGAAAATTGTTCACAATAAAGCTACTTTATAGTTATGCATACTGACATTGCTTTACAGTGTTACAAGTGCTTTAACGTTGTTTCGAGTATACATCCATTGTCAATTGAAACATGATACTGCATAGGTATATTATGTACATGTAGTATGGAACTTTTACTACGAGTATATATATTGCATCACATTAGTTTACATAGTGCCTTAGTACGTATTAGAATGCATGGCTTGGCATTACAATTGTATATAATATATACTTAAGTTTTCATATTGTCCATGCATTGGCACGCATATGTAGCAAACTGTTCCTTATCGTTTATACATATATAAGGTGCATATAATTGCAAGACTGAATAGTTCATGTTTTAATGTTCGATCATAAAGCATGTAGCATATAGTGTCATTCCATGTAAATGTTGTAGCTACATATAATACATATAAGCAGTTGCTGTACTGACCCGTTAAGCACTCTGGCATAGGTCAGTACCCAGTGAGGAGAGCTTTGACATTATAGCACAAATTTTACGAACCAGATGACTTTGCTTTATTAAATATTTACAATACGCTTGTGTATTAGTATATGGAATTAAGAGATGTTGTCCAGCAGTGAGCTGGCAGGTGGTAACATAGTGTTCGGGTGTGCCTTGTGAGCCACAGACACACATATCTGAGTTACTGATTCCATGTCGCGCGAAATACGTTGGAAAAGGACCATGGCCCCTTATGTATCTAATTAACAAAGAGTTACCTATATTTCTGTCTGGGTCGACATATGCAATGTGGAATGCTGTTCTTCGTCCAGTAGGACTGGAGTCCCACTGTTGTTGCCACTTCGATATGGCACGTAGTCTGGTAATTCTCTTGAGATGGGAATATGGCCATGGTATAGTAAGATTGAGAACATTTGAGTTGACAGCTGCTTCCTTAGCCATCTGATCAGCAAGCTCATTACCAGCATTACCGACATGAGCCTTAACCCATTTTAAATAATAATTTTTGCTTTGATGATCCCTAACAGTGCGCTGAATGTCTTGGATAATGGTAGATCGGTGGTCGGGATTGACTAGTGCATGTAAAGAGGACAAGCTGTCTGTGAGAATGATGCCTGTGGGTATTTTCATATTAATTAGGTAATCTATTGCATGCTTTATTGCTACGACCTCGCTCTGGAAAACACTATTGTTAGATTGCAAATGTGCTTGCCAGGTATGGATTACACCATTTTCAATGGTAACAATGAATGAGCAGCCCACATTATCTTCTATTCTGGAACCATCTGTATAGATTTTTACATTGCTTGCTGGCTCATCCTCGGCAGTATTGGAGAGAATTTTGACTCCGATGCCTTTCAGCGCGGGATGCAAGGCAGTAGGAAGGACTAATTGTTCGTATTGATCCGCTTGATAAGTAAAATCATCATAGGTAAGCTGTTTACGAAGATGTTTGACAGTTTGGATGATTGCCTCCTCTTCAATTCTGAAATGGAGTGGGAGCAACCCAGACATAACATTGATGGCGGCCGTAGAGGTGGTCCGAAATGCTCGTGTAATTAAGAGCGCAAAAGGCCTCTGTATGGTAGCGAGGTGGCGTACTTTCCTGCCCTGCATCGGGAAGGCCCACACTGCTTCACCATACGTAACAATTTTTTTCTATTACTGTAAGGTACAGTATTTTCTGAATATGCTCACTTAAACCCCAATTGTAACCTTAGAATGATCGTAGTAGATTTGTAATTTGCATTGTTCTCTTTTTAAGCTCTAAGACGTGTGCTATCCAGTTGAGCTTAGTGTCAAAAGTTAATCCCAGGTATCTGAGGGTTTTAACTATTTTAATTCTTTGATTATTTATGCAAATACGTGGTTGCCTGTTCAGGGAACCTCCTTTCTTTGGAAATAGCATGATATGGGATTTGTTGTGGGTAATTTCAAGTTTTATCTTTTGGCAGCGGGAGTGGAAAAGACTACAAATTTCATTACTATGGTTTTGTAATTCTTCTCGTGTACGTCCACGTACCACGAAAGCTGCATCGTCTGCATACGCAAACTTCGCGTATGATCCGGCCATTGATCAGCAAGAATGGTGTTAAAAGTGACGTTCCAAAGAAAGGGGCGCGCGCATGACCCTTGAGGGCAACCTCTTGTTTGTAATTTTTCGATAATCCCGCTGTTGTGCGGCATGATGAGTGTCCTATCAGATAGGTAATGGCATAAGGTAGCATACAAATTGAGCGGGCACTTCATTTTCCTCAATGCCTTTTTAATGGAAGGCCACCACAGCATATCAAAGGCACTTTTAAGATCAATATTTGACCAATGCCGTATGATAGCCATGGTGCCTATTATCAGTTATTGCTGCGTGGACGTTATGCAATGCCTGTATGGTGGAAGAACCTGCCTTGAAGCCATACTGACGTGAGTGCAGTAGGTTATTCTGTGAGATGTGGAAACGCAGCCTGTTTATTAACATCTTCTCATAGATTTTGCCCAATGAAGAAAGTAGGCAGATTGGCCTGTATGCAGCTGGATCTTGTGAATCTTTGTTTTTCTTATGAAAAAGGACAATTTGGCCTATTTTAAACGGACGAGGGAAGGTACCTGTTTCCAGAAGCTTATTGAAGTAGTTAATGAAAAATAGAAGGTTGGAGTTTATGACTGTAGTTATAATAGGATAGTTCAGGCCGTCTGGACCCGGTGCTTTCTTCTTTGGTAATTTTCTGAGAGTATTCAAAAGCTCTTGCACCGTGAAGCTTCATTAGGCGTATCTAGTGGAGGGTTGTTTTCACGTATTTCAGCTTGTTGTTCGTCATCTTCTTCTGGGTGGTCTTGTTGTATGACAGAATCGAGAATGACTCGGAGAGTGCTGGCATTAGTGGGATCTATGAGGTTGAGTGAATTCAGAACCTGAAATTGCGTCGGTTTAAACACTTTGCCTGTTGCTATCTTATGCGGGGCACCGTATACATCTTTCACATTCGAGCAGTAATTTCTCCAGGAGCGTATTTTACTCTGGACTATAAGTCTCTTGTAGATAGCCCGTTCACGTTGAAATAGTTGCAGAGTATTGGTTTCTAAGTTAAGCCCTCGTTCCGTTTTGAGTCTTCTTCGTAAAGCTCTGCATTTTTTCTTTTGAATGTTTAATTCTGAACTCCACCAATTGATTATTTGCATTTTCTTAGTGGAACGTAGTGGAAGTAGGTCTTCACAGGTTTTTATGAGAGTAGACATGAGTTTTGCTTGTAAGGTGCTCAAGGTCATCCCTTGTAGTGGCACTGTGCTAACTGAGGCTCCAAAGACTGTACTTTTGTTTTGATCCAGTCTGGTAAAAACTCGTCGTTTATTACTTGGGAGGTAGTATCTTTTTATGTAGGTAATGGAGGTGGGCTGCGCGATGTTGAAAGTAATATACTTGTGGTCCGACAAGCTATCTTGGTCTTCTACTTACCATTTCTGGATAGAATTTGCTAGGTGGTGGGAAGTGAGAGTTATGTCTGGCCATCCTTGTGCGTAGACGCGGTCGAAAGTAGGGGGTGCATCTGTATGGTTAAAGTTTGCAGTTGATGCAAAGGACTTTCATAGTCAGAGTCAGTTACGGAGAACGTAAACTTAATTTTAAAGCTGTATTAAGCATGGACGTTTTCTTTGTAGGTATATTATCTTTACTTCAATAAGAATCTGTTATTTTGTGAAAATTAGTGCTAATAATGCTTTAAATAACATCTAGTGAGTAACATGCGCGAAGTTTAGCTTGCTAACACAAATTAAAGATATACATGACATAATTTATGTTTCATCAGACATTAAAAGTTTACCTTTTAACTGAAGAAAGGATTTCTATACAAAAAAATTACTTTGGAATGAGTACGTTTTGAAGGACTTGTAGTAAAATTTTATCCGAAGACTTTCCTATAAAATAACTATTCTTTAATCACCGCAATTTCATTTTGATGCCCTTTGCAAGATTTTTAAGTTTGTTTATCTAGTTTTAGTGACTTTTGTTCCTCTAATTTGAATATATCATGATAATAGATAACTGAAGAAACGTCTCCAACTGTCATTACGACTAAATAATGAAGTTACATTTTATAAAAGTGGCGAAAGAAATCTACAGTTTTATTTAAATTTATACAAAATGTAGCAATATGTTATCTTGAATTTCATGGAATGTAATTTGGCAAGAAAAATATTTTTTTTTTATTTTTAATGAGCATTACTTTTTTTTTAATTAATTTTAATATTTTCTTTCTTTCTGCTGGCTTTTCTTTTATAAGTAATTTATACGTAGTTTTTAAGGTAAAACTTGCAAAATGCCTGGTGCATCAGCTGATAAAACAGCTAGATAATTAGGATCAGGAATTAAACACATTTAGTTGAATTTATCTTAAATAATTTTACAAAAACCTTGAAAACTAGTTTATTGTGAAATATCATGCAATGCTATTACCATTGGTGCTACTACTAACTGCAAAATTATCCAGCACTCTTGTCAATATTTTGACGATGAAAATATTTTAAATGCATAAACTGTTGACTCAAGTGCATTCATTGGCCAGCTCTTCTTGCGTAATGATGTTTTTCCTGATAAAGGGTATGTTTAAAATCTGTGGACTAAAATAAGTGCTTCGAAAATTAAATTTCAGCTTATGACTTAAATTTCGAATTCGAAAATGGAAGTCACGTTGACATCAGCAATAAAAATGTTAGTCGTAAACTCAATTCCTCATATCTGAATAAATGTTCGAGGGAATTCTATGTTGCTCATTATAATGAAATTCTTTTGAGACAAATTTCGTCTCGTAATTTTAATCTGTCTTTCTTTAGACACTATGTACTCTCAGAAAATAATTTCGTGTTACAATAATAGTGAAGAAGAAAGGGGGATTCATGCAAATATTACACCCCATTATTATTTAATTTTATGAAAACATCAATTTTTATTCTTCAGACAAATTATCCACATGTATCAATAGCTCCACTCTGGTTACAATATCTACATTCGACTGCTTTTGTTACGAAGTTAGACAGAATATGGAAAATTTTTGTCTATATTATAAAGACATTTTAGGTTAAATAGCATCTCATAAATGCTTCTAAACGATTATTTTGTGATTATGGGACGACATAAACCATATGCTAGATGAAAAATATCAAGCAATTATTCCTTCGCGTAAGTATAAAAAAACATGAAAAACACAGGCGAAGGTTTTAGTTAAAACATTTAGCCTTTCAAATATGAAATAAAATTTTCCAGTAAATATTGATGCACAGCGTATTTCAGTGTTTCTTAAAGTAAGGTTTTAAAGTAAAATAAGCGAGTATTAAAGCAATTTTTCTATCGAAAATGTCAGTCCTTTCCGATTTGTTGACCAACTGGATTTTTCAAATTCTAGGCGCTGTAACATTTGATCACCCGTGATGGATGAAGGAAAGACCAGATGTCTTTTAAATATTTATTTTTAAACTTAACAAGATTTCATGATTAAATAAACCTAAAAACACATTACAGACATGATAATAAAAACCGGGGGCTTGTTACGGCTTTTCGTCGCTGGTGCGACTTCACTCAAGTCTCTCTCTGTATAAAATCAGTCACAAAAGTCTCTTTCTTTCCTTTTAAGTTAGCGCCTTTAGGAAAAGAAATCAAAAGGGGTTTTTTATGACTTCCTTTTGTTCAGTACTTTGGCCATTTAGCGGACATTGGATGACAGTTTCGCCCGGAAACCGCCCATTGGATTTCCTTAACGCATTTCCGCAAATAATGTAACTGTCTCTGGACAAACAGGAAGTTGTTCTCTAATTAAACGTATTGTTATAAGAGGTGAGAATTTTGTCACAGCGCTCTCGATTATTTTCAAAAAACCACTGCATTTATTAGTTATAATTATCAATGCATTTGCTTCACATCAGTGATTGTCCTCACTTTTGAAGTAGTTCATACAAGAAGGCACGTTTTGTAAATGGGAATTAATAATTCTAAAAAGTAGAAAAATTGGCTGGAAGAAGAAAAAAAATTAGTAAATAGATTGAAGCAGAGCATACGACGGCTATTTGCCTCAGGGTAAAACATTTTAAGAGAAACTGGCCCGTATTCACGTTGCATATGAAAAAAATCATGAAATCTCTCATGTAGCCCGCCCGTTCGCACCAAATTTTATTAGAAAGATCGCCTTTTGTTAATAAAAATTTTCGTATTTAACGACATTTTTCTGGATTATCTATAGATAATTTAGCCGCTAATTTAAACGGATATTATTTTCTCTTAATTAGTAGTATTTTTCAACCCAATCTTGAGGTCAATGTTCGAATAATTGTTGCCAAAGAAGAGAGGATTCAAGTTCAGTTGCGTTACGTATTAATATTAGTGCTACAAATATTACATTGTTGCAAATGAAATGACAGATTTTAAGGCCGATTGAAAAATAAAATAATAAAGAGAAAAATATTATATATTTAGTACATGTAATCTCCATCAGCACATATATTATTTACAACATGTGACTATGTGATTC